GTATCACTACATACCCACTGAATAACTATAATAAAAAACAAAGTATTGGTGAGAATGTGGAAAAACTGTATTCATAATTACTGGTGGGAATATAATATGATATATTTTACATCTGGGAAGTGATGGAAATGTACTAAAATTGAACTGTGGTGATGGTTACATAGCTCTTTAAAGCATACCTCAACAATAAAGCTGTGAAAAAGAGAAATTAACCACTGTACCACTAGACTTCCAGTTCAGAGTATTAGGACAAGCTAGACCATACCACAAGGAAACAATTGGATAAACAATGTAAGATACTCTAAGACAACTGGCTTTACAATGTTAAGGACTGACAAACAAGTGAAAAAGCATGGAACTATTCCATAGTTAAGAACTAAAGATGCATAACCAAGCATAATGTATGAATACTGATTAGAATCCACATCAGAAAAACAGACATTTCTGAAGTAGCTGGGAAGGTTTGAATTTAGACAATACCAGATAATATGAAGTTATTGCGGATTTTTTTTTTTTTATGTGTGATAATGGTGTTTGGTTGCAGAATGTCCTGTTAGGAGATGTTTGCTAAAATATTTAGGAATGAAGTACCATGTCACCTGCAACATACTTTCAAATGGTTCAGCAAAAATAACTATTTGCAAAGATAAAGCAAGCATGGAAAAATGTAGATAAGTGAAACTAGTTGAAACATATTCAAAGAGTTTCATACTACCTCTTCAAACTTTTCAGGTTTGTAATTTTTGAAAATAAAAAGTGGGGAGGAAACTCAATTATATTCCTATGTACCAGGAATGACTTTTTTAAAAAGGTATAATAGTATATGATATATGGTGCATATATATATATATATATATATACACACCTAGAAACAAATATACCTACACACAATGTCCAAGACCTCTTTGGTGGTAATAAAATTTTATTAAGACATTAAAAAGACTTAAATAAGAGATATATCATGTTCATGGATTAGAAGGTCCTGTATAATGATGTAAATTCTCCCCATATGGCCTATAGAGACTTTGCAACTCCAATTAAAATCGCAGTGTGTTTGGTTTGCTTAGTCTTTGGGAGGAAATTCATAAGTTGTTTCTAAAATGGATATGAAAGAGCAAAGAACCAAGAAAAGCCACAAGCTCTTGAAGAATAACAAGGTGAAAAGACTTGCAATACTATAGTGCAAAACTTTTTTTCAAGATAATGAAGAGAGTGTATATTGGCACAAGGAAAGACCAATAAAACAAATAGTCCAGAAAGAGATGTCTGCACATATCAACGCTCAATATATAACAGAGAAGGCACTTCAAAGCAGTAGGGAAAGGAAGGTCTTTTCAATAAACAGTGCTGGAACAAGAGACTAACCATATAAAGATGCAAAAAAAAAAAAAAAATTTATCTCATACCACATGCAGAAGACATTTCCAAGTAGGATGAAATCTCAAAGTGAGCCGCAAAACTATAAAGCATTTATGAAGAAAATATCAACTATATTCATGACCTAGAGAGAGAATAATTTTTAAGTGAAATCTAAAACATGCTAACCATAAGGTAAAAATATATGTGAACAGGCGTCTGGGTGGCTCAGTTGGTTAAACCGCTGCCTTCAGCTCAGGTCATGATCCCGGGGTCTTGGGATCGAGCCCCACATCGGGCTCCCTGCTCATGCGGGAAGCCTGCTTCTCCCTCTGCCTGCCGCTCCCCCTGCTTGTGCTCTCTCCCTCTCTCTCTGTCGCTCTCTGTGTGTCAAGTAAATAAATAAAATCTTTAAAAAATATATATATGTGAACATATTAAAATGTTAATATATCAAAAACACTGTGAAAAGACAAGCCACAAATTGGGGAAAGATTTTTGCAAACACAACTCATAAAGGAGTAGTATCCAGGATATATATCAGAATCCCCTGCAAAGTACTGGGGAAAAAATGGACACAAAACTTTAACACATACTACACTCACCAAAGATGAAATCGAAATATCCAGTGAACATGTTGGCCTTCTTGTGTGCTAAATAAGTCTTTTTGAAGAGCAGCGTGGCAATATATATGAACATAATTTGACATAAGGAAAATGCTAAGTAAAACCACAGTGAGATAACATTATACACCCAACAGATTGGTAAAAACTAAGAAGCCAATATACCCTTGGAGGAATGTAAATCAGTACAAGAATCTCTGGGGAAAGTTTGGCATGATCTGGCAAGAATCTAACAAACCTGTGCCTCTGTGGTTCTACTCTTAAGTATATGTCCTTTTATTTATTTATTTTTTTAAAAGATTTTATGTCCTTTTAAAAGTGCATACTCTAGGGGTCCCTGGGGGAGCACGTGACTCGATCTTGGGATTCTGAGTTCGAGCCCCTGCTGGATGTAGAGATTAAATAAACTTTTTTTAAGTGCATACTCTAGAGTACACATACAAAATATCCAGAGCAGCACTGTTCGCAATATCCTCAAATTAAAAAACCACTCAGATGTCCAGAGTAAAATGGAAAAATTATAATATATTCATATAATGGAATAAGCAAAGTATAGATATACATGATTATATGGATGAGTCTTATAAACATGTTTAGCAAAAGAAACAAGTCTCAAAAGACTACAAGATAATTTGAGTCACACAAATTTCAAAAATAGGAACTAAATATTTAGGGATCTATTTAGGGATATATACATAGGTATAAAACTATAAAGAAATGAAGAGTAGGGCTGGTGTTAAAGAGGAGAGAAGGAGTATGATGGGGAGGGTATGTGGGAATTTCCGAGGTGTTAGAACTATCCTATTTTTTGGCATGGGTAGTTACATGGATGTTCACTTTCTGATTTTAAAATATGTGTGTATATACATGCATACATGTACATCTCATGTACTTTCTGTATACTCCACTATAAGAAAGTATACAATGGCCAGTAAATATGAAAAGACATTCAAACCTTACTAGTAACTAGGAAAATGAAAATTCAAACAACAGTGATCACCTGTCATGATTCACCTAAAACGTAAGACTGATAATACCCATTTTTGCGGAGGTTACAAAGAGGCATTCTCATATGCTGTCAGTAGGAAAGTAAATTAGTAAAGCCTTTTTGAGGAACAATGTGGCAATATATACAAAAATGTAAAACCCATATATCTTGTGAATCATCAGTTCCAATTTTAAATATCCTAGTGAAATACCAGCACATATACTCAAAATATACGCACAAAAAGATGTATACCATTCGCTACGGTAGTGCTTGCAACAGTGAAAAAAATGAACGTTAATAGGGAGTATTTATGAAAAGTGTCATAACTCATACAATGCAGTCCTATGTAGCTATTAAAAATTAAGACCAATCTTTATGAATGGGCATGGAAAGATCTCAAAGGTATTAGATGAACAAAAGTCACAGAACAATACATACATAGCATAACCCTGTTTTAAAAATATAAATATATACACACTTTTTTCTATAGAGATGTATGAAAAACAGACTACAAATTTAGACTTTAACCTATGAGTGATTCCCTCTCAGGCAGGGAGTGGTGAAGGGAGAAGCAAGGTGAAGAGGGGCCTTTCATCTCTTACTCCATACAGTGGACCCTCGAACTGTGTGGTCGGTCCACTTATACGCAGATTTTTTTTAATACAGTACTGTAAATGTATTTTCCTTATGATTTTCTAAATGTTTTCTTTTCTCTAGCTTACTTTATTATTAGAATACAGTATATAATACATATAACATACAAAATATGTGTTAAGTGGCTGGTTAGGTAACGATTGGTAAGGATTCTGGTCAACAGTAGGCTATTAGTAAAGTTTTCGGGGAATCAATATATGCCAGTTTTCCACTGTGCTGGGGGTTGGTGCCCCCTGCCCCCAAGTTGTTCAAGGGTCAATTATATACACAGATATTCTATGAATCTTTTGTAAGAACATATCCGTGGACTACTTGAATATTTTTAACAGGTGGTAATAGTGAAACAACTGTACTGCTATTTAGCCCATTCCAATGAGAACTGAATACATTTGGGAATAACTTGCTTTCAAAGCTAAGTCTTTCATTTCTTGAGGGCTTGAGAGCCTATGGTTGTGTTACAGGGCTGTGAGCCATCAAGTGATAAGTGCCGTGGAGGATTCTAAGTGACTGGGTCTGTCTCCAAGTTTGCCCCTTGAAAATATTTGCATACATTCTCATATCCTGGCTCACTGGCAATAGCAATAATGTTTTCCCAAAGCACTTTGCTAAAGTAAATTGTGATGTACACATCAAATCACAACCACAGTAAAGTGCAGATGTGGCTGTCAAGATGCATGTTTAGATCTAAATTAGTAATCATACCCTTGGTGAGTGACTTTTGGAATAAGTAGTTTGGATTTGGATTTGGATTCATAAGGAAGAACCCAGACCCACTAAAAATCACAAGATACAGCTTCTCTTTTTCTTCTTCCCTGCCCCCTCACTCCCATAGCCCTTTCCAAATCAAATAATTTTCTATAGAAGTGGGAGAGAGGGAAACCTAATGATGAGTTATTTGGAACTGGCAGTGAATCAAAATAAAAAGCACTATCAGTGTATTTATGAAGGAAAATCCAACTACATGTATACATTTTGGTGTGCATTTTATTATTTTTTTTGGAATCATATCCATATGAAGAAAAATTGCCAAAGTATCCTTTAATCTTGAAAGCTAGGCCCTTGCCTTGCTGTGTCAGAGGAAAGCAAAACTAAGGCAGTAATGCTGGGGACACCACTCTTTCCATATGCACACTGACAGGAGAGGAGCTATCGAGGAAATGCCTTTTGACTGATGAACAGAGGAGAATCTACACACATGTTAAATACAAATGAAAACACATCAGCACACACAAGTCATTAGCCTGGTCCTCTGGCATCCACGAGCATGCATCTTTTCCAAAGGATCTCTTATTCAATGGTGTAAGCACTTGGTCTCATTATGCCTCCTATCAGCAAATACCTTTTTATTCCAGAATGGAAAACGAGCTGGGAATTAAATACATCCAATATTGATGCTTTATTGCTGTAAGTCACCAATAAGAGAATGAATTTAATTTTAATACATTTATTTTTGTGTGACTCTTAATAAAACACTTTCAAAACATTCTGTACATTTCAAGCCACTTAGAACTGCAGTACATTCTATAAACGTGATTTGCTGGGATGAGGTGCCAAGATGTCTCTGTACAAAGATGTACAATATGTACAGTCACTCTAAGTGCAAGCTGTGCAAAGCAGTCTAGAACACTAATCCATGCCAAGGCTTAGAAAACATTTCAACACTTAACACTAAAGCTCAAAACTGCGTTGTTGCTTTTTCCTGGGCAAATGGTTACTTTATAAACAAATATATGTATATGTCATATAGAAAGAATAGTTTGACTCCTCAGCTCAGTCAGCACCATGCAGCTGACGGGATACATTACAGGGCTGCTCTTCTCTCTCTCCAGGGCACCATTTTGCCACGCTCAACGGTTGTCTCATCACTGAGCTGCCGCCGCCACTGCCTTTGGCTGAACTACAGCAATGCTAGGAGATTTAAATTTGGGGAGATAAAGGCCAAACTTGTTTTCAATGCCAGCAAAAGTGGCCGTGGCAAGTCTGTATCCACCGATGTGATCGGGATTGGCAGGAGGAAGGTCTGCGATGCGTGACTTGGGTGTTGGTTCTGAGCCAGAGGGTTTGCTGTTGATAGGAAAAAGCCAATGGTTAGAGTGCTCAAGACTGATGCGGATGGCACATGCGGACAGAACATTTTCAGTCTCACCCATGTGCCCCAAAGAGGAGTGTTTGTCCAGCTACTTCCTTGTCATCTATGCTACATTTCTCAGGATTTATGGCTGCTTGGAAAGCAACACATTCATATTTTTTATTTGGAAGAGAAATGGCCTCAATTTATAAATAGATCCACAGAGAAAAGATCAGAAGAAAATACACTTAAATATTAACATTCTCAGGGAAGTAGGACTGTGAGTGATTTTCTCTTTTATACTTTTACGTTCTCCAAGTTTTCTGCATTAAGCATAAATTAGTCATAATAAGTTTACATTTTTCTTTTATTTTGACATAGTTAAAAAGTTAACTTTTTAAGTGGTAGACTCATGATGGTTATTACTAAATTTAAAGAGACATAGATATAATTCTTACTTTTAAAGAATGTGAAAGCACAGAAAAGCCTGGAATTGTAAGATTGCTATTCTTACTTCCTACTTTGTAGAAGTCTCTCTATTCCTAGGGTTCAGCAGCTAATTCCATGTTTGGCCTTTAAGCAAGGAAGGGGGTCAAAGGTTTATGAGCTGAACACCCAGAAATGGGATTTGATTACCTGCTGAAAAGCTGACAATTAATTGCTTTAGGTACAGCCTTGCCCACCCAGCAGATTCAACAAGTAATTCCTTTTCTTCCCAGCACAGGCTTCAAGTGGCCCAATTTCTGACCTAGATTTCACTAGTAATTATGTCCATAGGCATAACCTCTCTCTGAACGTTTTTTTTTTCTGTTTATTAGCTCTAAGAACATCTATACCTACCTAATAATAAATAAAAATAAATAATGAAGTCTCGGAGGTGTGAAAAGTCTTGATTGAGTCTTGGAAACAAAGTTCATAAAACTGTTACTAAAACAAATTTACCTTATATCTGGTGAAAAGGCCATATAATAGAATTCAAATAATAAGGACCTAAATCCATGAAGCTCTGTATTTGCTTACACTAAAAAAGATAATTTATTCACGTAACAGTTTAATTTGCTGCTTGCCTTCACTTTCCCCAAGTCACTGCTTAACACTGCGTATGATGGTCCCCTCATACCGAAGCTTCTCAAGCCCACTGTTTTAAATGCACTGGTCCTGTAGGGTTCTCTGTCCTACCCAGTTCTGGGAGTTCCAAAACTGCCTCTGCAGGCCAAAGACCTATTTTGGTTTCGGTGCTTTCTTTTACAAGGAGTTGAACAGCTGCACTTACAGGCCTCCAAAATCAATGTAAAACCATCGCTGGAGAAGTTCATAGGTGACCAAGGTAACACCAAACTGGGGAGAAGATCGAAACACTCGAGCTGAAAAACAGACGGGAGTGGGGATACTGAACATGACTGTGGCAAAGCCAGTCGGTGAGTAATGGGAGCAGGTCCCTAACACTAGCGAGCCATTCTGCATGGCCGTAGCCCTTACCTGCAGTCCCCTTCCAAAATGCTGAGGGCCCCTCTTCCCGGAGTATCTTCCTGAAACAGTCAATGACACCACTGTATGTCGTCTGGCCTGCACGGGCGGCCACTTGCAGTCTTGTCTTGATGACATCAGCGGGGGTCACCAGGGAAGCAGCAGGCACACCTTTCAGGAGAAAGGCACACTGAAGTCACCCAAAGTACCTTATAAGGAGCAGAAATACTGCTAACAGCCAAGTACAATTGGCAACTTTAACTGCTCTAACTCCAATAAATAGGTGCCTGGGCACTCATTGGAAAAAGGATACATAAGCCTATTAGCTGCTTCAGTGTGGACCAAAATTCTTTTTTCTTTCTGAATTAGGAAAATCACTCTACATTGCATGATCCCAAAGAACTAGGAGAGGAAAAAATGCAGCAATATTACTAGGACAATTCCCAAGTATTCCCTTTTAGGTTTCAATGATTTTACCTCCTTTTTTTCAGCAAATAAGATACAAGTATTTTTGTATATAATAAGAAATGAGGACACTGCCCATTTGATGAGATGCTAAACGTAGTGTTTTCTTGCTGATTCTTGTCACCTTACTGTGCAAGGTGAATGTCAATAGTCATACCCACTCACCTGTTTGAGGGGCTAACTCGGGAGTTGGCTGGGACTCTTTTCAGACATGCTTACATGACAGAAGTCATTACAACAAGAGCTGAGGCAGCCAGGCAACCAGTTAAGGAACAATAGGGGAACTGGTCATCAAAAGGCTTCATCATCCATCCCCTGTGCCGGAGCTCCCTGGGGTCATGCTGAGATTGATCAGCAGTGGGACACCCAAGAAAGATTTCACAACCACATCTTTCCCTTATAAAACAAAGCTGGGGACAAAGGAGCAATATAACCTTCCTCAGAGGGATGATATTCAATTGGGTCTATGACTGTCACTGAATCATCACTAGGCAGATGGAGCTGGCGGACCTGTGGGACCTATGGGAGCCGCCGTTGCAGGAGGATGCAAATACCTCCGCTCCACGCGGCCCTGCACCGTAGTCAGATGAAACTAGGTAAACTGCCTGTCTTTGGAATGTTCTGAATTCTAAATGTTCTTAGGGCCTCCCAGCAAGGCTTTACTGGTAAAAATTAGAAAAAATCACCTCTCTTTCTGAAAACCAACGTCAAATATCTGGGGGCAAATTTCACGGCGCTGACAGTTCCATGAAAATGTTTACTTGGTTCCATCAATCACTGGCAAAATACCTGTCCATGATTCGACTGTTCTTTGGCTGTTTTTTTTTGTTGTTGTTGTTGTTGTTGTTTTGTTTTGTTGCTGCTGACTGGAAAGCAGAGGCAAACGCTTGGGGGGAAAATTTGCTGGCCCCATTTAAAAGTGGGAGACTTTGCTGAGTACGGAAAAGGGGCTGGAGGAACACTCAGTGCCAACATGGGGCAGGTAGCTTTTCTGGCTTTTAAAGGACTGAAGTAACAAATGCCAGAGAACATGGGATTTGCTAGACCCCAAATAAGGGCTCGGAGCTCCCTTGGGAGAGTTTCTTAACCATCACAAGTCATTCCCTGTCATTATGGGTGAGAATAAGAACACGGTCCATCCCAACACCCTCAGAACCCCATCATACACACTACACTCTTGGAAGTGCTCAGGCTGTCCGGCTGTCCAGCCAGGGCACCAGAGGAGAATGAACCCAGTGAGAGCTACACAGTACCATGAGCCCAGGCAGGCAGACCGACACCGAGCATCTGGATACTACGTTTGAGTGGGTGTTCACCCTTCACCTTTCTATCCTGGACCAGCAGTAATGGGGAGCAAACACACACCCTTTCCTTCCTCTGTCATTTCTGAGAGCTGGTGCAGCCAAGAACACCTGGTCCTCCCCTTCTATCCCAAGTTAGCTCCTTCAAGAGGAAGGCTAGACCTGTGAGATTGGAAGGAAACAACTTAGTACCTTCCTACATTTGTTAGGCTCCTCTTTCAGATGGAATCTCTTTTGTGTCTAACTTGGGAACTCAGACCAAATGAAGATTTTCATTTGTTCCACTGACATTTGAGCTCCTATTATTACTATGCTGGCCATGAAGGGAAAGCAAAAATGAAGAAAATGAAACTCTTGCCCTCAAAAAGCTCCCAGCCTAGTACGGAAAATAAAACTTATGCAAACAACTATTACTAAAGAAAGTGTTAAGGGACAGAGAAGAGATGCCAATTGAGTATAGGGTTGTTTGCCGGGGAAGTACTGCTTATTTGTATCTAACGAGAACGATGATAGAAGGAACATTGACAGTATCATGAAGAAAGCTCAATTTTGAACCAATCATGTAGACTCCATCATGCAGAAATAGCAAGTGAGGCATGCTAGACCTGGGCATCACATGAGTTACAATGAAGCAACTGATTTGATGAAGAACTCTTCCACCTTTATGCTTAGCTTGGCTGCACCCAAGTTTTCAGGGGCACGGGAGGCTAAGAAGCATGTTAATGATGAAAGCCCAATTTAGATGGGCAGATCTAATTTGGCTCTGAGTTGCTAAGCTGCATTACGCTGTTTATCCACATTATGCAAATGTAATTAACTCTCATCAGAATTACAGCACATCCCACAAAGGAGAAAAAGCGATCATATTTAAACCAAGTCAGATACAAACAATAACCCTCCCAGAAATAAAGGCGGACAGTGCACAGAAATTGTGTACTTCTTAAAGAGAATGGGGGTAGGATTCTTTGGCTTAAAAAAAAAAAAATTGTAGTTACCTGCCATGGCTCCAGCTGCAAGGAGATTTATACCTCCCACGTGTCCATTTTCATCAGCCAGAAGTAGTTTGCAATGAGCATAAACAGGAAAATAGATTGCAGAGAAGGGAATGTCTCGGAGGAAACACGCTTTGGCACCCTGTCACAAGTGAGGAAATAGTGCAAAACAGTTGTGTAAACAGGGCCGTGAATGCCCATAACGGATCCAGGGTGACAAGCCTTAGGTGTTCCCTCAAACAGCACGGGGACTGAGTGGAATGGAAATGGGGGGGGAACAAGATGGGCATAGGAAATATACCTGACTCAAAGTCTGAGAAAGGCTGGAGGACCCTGGAGACCTAGAGTTAGTTACCTGGGTAATGATGTTATCCTGACAACTAAGAATTTTCTGGCATTTGCAATATAGATTCAGATTGTAAGGTTAAAAAAAAATTCAGTTCTCAAACCTCCAGGCTGTTTGTTCTGTGTGGCTTTGGTGGATACGAGGGAGAGGGGCATGAGTGGGAACAGACTTGGAAACCTAATGTTAATACCTTGATTCCAAAGCAACCAGCAAAGGCAGTCCACAAAACTAACAATTCATCCGTTCGATCTACACAGCATAGAGCCCATGAAGTACCAGTTAAGCTATAGGCAGTGACACTGGAAAAGAAAGGTGACTATTCTAGGGAACAGGAAAAAGAAACTACTCCTAGATAGCAGAGGATTGGGGAAACTGGGACAAATTATTTTAGCAGAAGTTTCCACTGGAATAGAAAGCTACCCAGGGATAGCTCATCTCAGTGACTGAGGAACAATAAACACCTTCCTCAACTTGGTTAGTCGCCCAGGCTATTCTCCTGCCCAGGGCTTGACCTGAATACTCATCTTCCAGCCGAATACTCCATCTTTGGCCCTTGTTTCTCTAATGGTTCTGTTTTGAAAAGACAAACTCAAAACATTAAAAAAAAAAAAAAATCCAAGGACTCTCTGAAGGATGATATAGACAGAAGCAGTATTAATAAATTCAGCTCTCAAAAGGAATTCCAAAAAGGATGGAAATTGGGGGCGGAGGGCAGGAAATGTGTACAGAACTCTCTCAAGATAAGCATCATTGGTTTACTGTTCCCCTAAGAGCCCTGTACCTATATGATTCTAATCTAGAGAATTTCTGATTTCCAATTCGTAGCTACAGAAGCCAATTTACACATTTCTACAGTGATAGATCTGTAAATAAATCAGATGCTGTAGAAACACTGTTGCTAATAGCAGCCAAATTTACGTATTCCCCCCTTATGCCAGGCAAAAGAATGGAAAGAAATACTCTTCCTTGTTTAAGAAAAATAATAGCTTCTGCTCCATTACATCCGATCTGTAATGATGGGAGTAAGTATACCTGCAGGGAAGGAGTCTGTTGACTGGCATTTTGCTAAAGTACAGTACACTCTGTGGGGTGTGTGTGTGTGTGTGTGTGTGTGTGTGTGTGTGTTTTAATGGAATTCATTATTGACAAATCCCACCACTTAACTTCTTAAAAACCTGAATTCTCCCAAACTCAGCTACTGTTTCATTGTGGTCAAATTATTAAGACAAACAGAAGCTCCTACTGGGAAGATAAGAATAGAGATAACTCAGACTCAAAATAAACACAGGACTATTTTGAAGCCCTAAAAAACAGACCAAAGAGAACACCAAAGAAACTTTTCCCAAACCTGCCATCAAATCAAAGGCTGTGAGGTGGACCTCCCTGCCGGCAGCTTCAGAAAGGCTGAAGGCGACAACAGGAGAGTGTGTTTGTATAGCCCACTGCCTCTAATAAAAGTGTCCTGATTTTGTCTTTTTGTCCGATTTTGTACTCGAGGAACTACCCTGCTGGACAAAATTGCTTCTCCACTTTGCGGGGAGAAACCTGGTTTCCACATTCTTTCATGGTTCTATTGAGTACATGACAAGCTCTCTACTGAGATCACCCAAGGAAATCTACTCACCTTATACAGACCAAAAAGTCCCAGGTCCCGGAGTACATTCAGGGCACTGACCCTGGGTCCTGTGGTGATCTCTCCAGCTACCTGCAGGCGAATCTTTACTATCTCCAGTGGATTAGTAAAGATGACTTGAGAGCCACCAGCCTGCAGGCAAGGGAGGAGAGAGAGAAGCAGATTTCCAAATCAGAGACGGACTGGAGCGTTACCAAGAAAAATCCAGAAAAGCCTCTACAGGCACCGCTTTACTCCCCCCTCTTCACAGGGGAATGAGAGGCCCACACTTCGGCCAATGCTAGAGGGGCTCACAGGGATGGTCCCAAACTCAGTTGCAAGCTAATCTATGTCTGGATTTGTTTTGATTTGAAATTTCAAGAGTATTTCTCAAACCAGTCTTTCCGGGGTCAACCCAGCCATAACCAAAATGGCAAAACTAATAAACACATTTGGAAAACAAAAGTGAAGCCAGATGAGGCAGCAGGGAGCTTCCCAATGAAAGGGAAAGAGATGGTAAAAAACTGGTTGGTATCTTTTGTAAGCTGGAGGTAAAATGTGGATCTACAAGGGTCACTTTCCTTCTCTTAGCAAGGATTCATTTTAGCTCAGCCACCCGCTTCCGCTTCCTTGGATTGTAGAACAATTAACACAACTTCGCCCCACAGAGGTGCCTAAGTCATAGGGGAAAAATCTACACCCCCCCCCGTTCAAATTCTAAAATCTATTAAATTGAGCAAAACTCTTGAGACAGATATGTAGCTAAAAGGAGAGAACCTAGAAAGATACTTTCAGTATCAAGACAAAACCAGAAAAACTCTGCTGGGAAATGGATCATCTAGTTACCATGAGTAGGAAACTGGGCAAATCAAAACTACACTCCACAATGGTAGTGAGTGACAGGGATTTGAATTTGGATAATAAGGGTGAATTTGAATCTGAAATCTGTTAACTAGTGGGTGGGGGGAAGAATGTGTAACAAAACTGCTACCAATTCTTTTTTTTCTTTTAGTTTTTTGTAAGGAAAAAACGTGTTTGTATGAGTGTGTGTATATATGATATATAAAAATACATTTTTAAAGCATAAATATAGGGGCGCATGGGTGGTGTCTGCCTTCGGCTCAGGTCATGATCTCAGGTCCTGGGATCGAGGTCCTCCCATCAGGCTCCCTGCTCAGAGGGTAGTCTGCTTCTCCCTCTCCCTCTGTCTCCTCCCTGCTGCTCATGGCTCCGTCTCTGTCTCTCTCTCTTAAATAAATAAATAAAATCTTGTAAAAAAGAAATAAAACATAAATATATGTATCTCCACGAAGTGAAAAAATCTCATTTGCACATCTTCATCTGAACTGCAGCTGTTTGTATTACACGATCATAACCATAGTCACATAATCATATTATACCATATACTCGTAACTTCACTGCAGGAGCACGTCCCACGTGGAACAGGAACTGGGAAAGGCCTCACTGGGGCCAATCCCACAGGTATAGAAACGCTACAAACAATACCCTGAAAGCTCATGCGCAGCGTTCAATGACACTCCAGCACTCTACCTTCACCCGCATTCCCGTTCATGTTTCTAAAACCCACAGTCCTTCCAGCCCTACTTCCAAGGGGTAGCAGGTCTCAGCCCATTCTCAACTCTGCCTGCTCCAACCTTGACCCCTTACTCCCACAGACCACGCCATCCCCGAGTGCCAGCACTGATACAAGAGCCCTTTCGGCTCTGCGGGAAGCTTACTATCCTGGATTCCCCAGGGCCCCGATCCCTTTGTTGTCCACCAGGCATGGGGGTGCAGCAATGTGCTGTCTCTCTCTGGGTTTCCCGTGACTCCCAACTCCACAATCCATACCACTGGACACAAACCCCAGAGTGACAACTGACCCAATTTTACATGTTGATTTGCCTGAGTTTCCCTCTCTTAATTTACTGTGCTGCAGGAAGAAGGAAGCATTTCAGTGTTTCAATCTAAGCAAACAATACTTTCAAAAGGATTGCTGGGTGAAAAATTATGTTAAAATGATAATCGAAATAATTGCTCCCATAGCTAGTATTAAAGACCAAACCAATTGAGAAAGTTTACTACTTCCCTGAAACCTCATGTTTAAATAATGGTTGTGAAGACTACCTTTGGGAAAATGTACCTTATGTTCTAAACTAAAGCAGATTAAAAAAAAAAAAAAAGAGGACAGAAACACAAATTTTGATTATAATCCACAAACTTTGCCACCATCAGATGATGTCAAACCTTGGATGCCATTCATTAATTGTGGTCATCATGTTTAAACAATACAAAGTTCTTCCATGTTTTTAATCATTAGTAAAGTAAAGTATAATGTCCCACAGAGCAGGCATACTCCAGCCAGTCATACCCCACCCCACAGCTCCTCCTGCTCTCCTCACCAGGCCCTTCGGAAATAATTGCCAGTTGATTGAGATTCGTACTCCTTCAACAACTCTTCACATTTCTTTCTGAGTGTACATGTAACATCTAACACGTTAACTTTTGTATGCTTTGAAGATCTGTTACCCAGAATGCATACTAAGTCCTGAGAATGCAATGGACATAAGGACAAAACTAAACTGATTTACATTTATATATACATCTGACAAGTGAGCATGTAAACAAGAAAGCAGTGACACTGTAGCAAGGCACACATCTATGAGTGTGGTTCACACTTACGTACTCTACTATATTTGAAGGGAGAAAACGTCTAGCAATTGCATAGTCTGTATATGTCTTAAAAATTTATATTTTAAAAAACCTTATGATAGGCCTAGGAATATATAGGCCAAAACTATCCAGAAACATTGAATAATTTTAGAAAAAATAAAGATTGTTATTTAAGTTGTCTAAAACTTTGGTAACACTTACAGGGAAACATCCATGGCAAATACGCACTGTCCTTTTCTAAACTCTGAGATTGACCACTATCTCACACATGTTAAACTGGGCACAGTGGGATGGGGGAAGAAAATCTGCAATTAATTCAATCCTTCTAGTGAGAAATCTAGAGACATAGAACAAGGATTATGTTTTATCACATTCTTAACTGTTTCCTCTCTGAAAAACAAACACAGGAAAATAGCATTTCTCTTCTATTTTAAGGCTCTACTGATTGTGATATTATTACATTAAAAACAGCTTTTCACAGGGAAAAAACACAGTAAACATAATCAATGAATATAATGAATTTCAGGAAGTATCAAGTTGTGAAATAAAAATATGGTAACTTTTCAATGGAAAAAAGTATCTGTATTTTTACAAATATGCTAATTATGTTTGCTGTTCTACAAATATGCAAATATGTTTGCTAGTTTAAAGAGCAACAAAGTTAAACAAAAAAAATGTACATGCCCAATAAGGAAATAGTTAAGTAGAAACAATTATAAGCTCTTAAGCAATAAGATCTGGTAATAAAATTATGCCAAGTAACATAAACCAAACATAAAACATAGGTATGCACTGATCAAAATTAGTTTGTCAAAATTAGAATGGCTGAGGCATGAAAATATTGGTTGCCTTCTGGAAAGAGAAATGAGTACCTGAAAGAATTTTTAAAGCATACCCTATTGTTCCTTTTAAATTCTGAATCATGAAATGTATTAAGTACTCAAAAAAACCAACCAAAAAACAAGAAACAGAACTGGTCTTAGAAACAATGGCTTCCTTTATAGACTAGGTCCTCTCTCACATTCTTCCCCATGATAAATTTGGTATTTATATACATTAAATGCATTTTAAAAACTAGTTAGCACTAGTTATCTACGGATCCAAAACTTTAAACAGGCTTATCCATCTATGTAGATATGAACATCAAAAAAATCTAAGCAATTATAGCTAGTGATCTGAAATAACAATGATATCTAAAATTTCAAATTACATCATGATGATAAACAGTTCTATACTCTTAGTGGACTTGGTCTAATTTGACATCCTGATGCTTACATTAGATAACACCATTCTATGCAGCACGTTTGGTGACTTTGTCCCCCTTACCAAATTACCAAAATTAGCTTCTAAACTTCTAATGGTGAAATTTCCCTCTTCAAATCTGCTGCTTATTCTTACAAAGAGGCAAACATTAATATTAAAACTTTTAGAGGCTTTCATTTTTCATTACTAAGTTGTTTTGTTGTTCTAGAAATGAATTACAAGTGACACAAAAAAGAGAACAAATCTCATTTTGAATGAAGGTTATCTATATATGACAGAAATGGAAAGAATGTAAACACTTCCATTTAATCTTGCATCACATAATTATTTTTTTAGTAAGAAAATAAACCAACTAAAGTGGGCAGTAAAAATTAGGAGGAAAAAGTATGTAATATTGAGATGTCACCAGGCCTCTGATGTGCCTGAGGCCAAGGGGTTGCACACAGGATTAGGCCTGTTCAACCTCCTGCCCTTAAAATCCTACCCCAGGGGCAGAGTCCACAAAGAGGCGGGCGACCTGGCCCTGCTTGTGCCCAGTCTCCTGTTTACTTTCTTCTTTGATCTGTTTTCTCCTGTCGTTTGGAACTATTTCCCTCCTACTACAATCTGAACAATTCATTATAGTCTTCCCTTACAGAGATTGATGAAAATCTAACTTCAATTTAAGGCCACACCAGGAACTTGAACAGATGTACAAAATATGTGCATTTAAAATAACCAAGCTAATAAAAGCCACAGAATTAGCTGTCACCAGGACTGACTCAAGAAGAATAGGAACAGTGACTCTGTCTCACATGCCATCAACCAAGCATTCTTAGATATTTTATAAAGCAATGGGAAATGCAATGGTTCTTTCTCAAATAGCCTAGGACCATGATAACTTAAAAGGAGTAAGTTGCAATTTGCTCACTGCTGAGTCACTGATATATGCCAGGGTGTTAGGATATGGATAGATAAAACTACACATAGCCCTAACTAGGGTAAAGGAAGAGTCAAAACCTCTGTGTACCTATCATGAGCACTCCGACATAAATATATATGGACTCTGAACTTGTTCACATATGTATATGTGCTCACACAAGTATGCAAGCATCAAGTTGGGGAGCACACTGATTCCTGGGACGGCGGGTGTAGATACTATTTCCAACAACTCTTTGGAGATATGCAAACTCAGTTTGCTGAGGAAGACACAGAATAAGGGCTGGTCAGCTACAAAT